GAAAGCAAGAACATCCACACTGATTGCATCTTGCATTATAGGAAAAATAAAAAAAAGAGAGAAGAGGAAAAAAGAAGAGAAAGAGAGAAAAAGAAGAGATATCAACGAAAAGATTTAGTTTTTTTTTTCTTTCGTGTGTAAATATAACGTTTCAGATTTAAGTTATTTAAACCTTGTAGAATATGATGATTGAAAATGAATATTGCAAGCATCACCATGAATTAAAAAAAGCTAGTTTTATTCAAATCATTCCAAAATAAATCACTTTCCTCATCGAAATAAAAGTAAGTCAGATATTTGTAAAGTAAAGCAAACTTATAACAAGATATATAGTAAGTATTGCAGGAGTTTGGTTAATGCTCTTGCAATTGCTAAAAAGAAACGGGGTGAGCGAGGGAAGGCTGATCTTAATCCGCTCACTGTGGAAAAGGAGGAAGCTGTTGAATACATAAGAGAGAGAGAGGGAAAGAAGGGAAACAGAAAGTGAGAGCTGAATATATATATATACATATATACGTGTGTGTGTGTGATATATATATATATATATATATATATATATATATATATATATATATATATATATATATATATATATATATGTATATATATATATATATATATATATATATATATATATATATATATATATATATATATATATATATATATGAGTGCCGCGATGATCCAGTATATATATATATATATATATATATATATATATATATATATATATATATATATATATATATATATATATATATATATATATATGTATATACATATATACATATATATATATATATATATATATATATATATATATATATATATATATATATATATGTATATCTATCTATCTATCTATCTATCTATCTATCTATCTTATCTATCTATCTATCTATATATATATATATATATATATATATATATATATATATGGTGGTGTATGTATATGTGTGTGTGTATATATATATGTATATATACATATATATAGAGAGAGAGAGATAGATAGATAGAGAGATAGAGAGATACATACATATACAAGGAGAGAAAGTGCATGAGGGAAAAGGACTGATATGATGATTTATATAGAGAAAAACCGTAGACAAAAAGGAAAAACTAAAGAGGCAAAGCGTACGCACACATGCCTCCATATAAGCAGGGCTCATAACCTTTCCCGCCCCCCCTCCCCCTCTCCGAGCCCGGGGCCTGACACGGCAACCTATTTACCTCTTGCTGATAACAAGCTATTTCTAACCCTAGACTAGCTATTGCACTTTAGGCAAAGGAGAAAGTAAAGGCGGAACACTTATCAGTTATCAGTTTGCAATTACCGGGCCTTTTCCTGTAATAATATGATAAACAAAAAAGAAAGAAAAAAAGATGTATATAGATTTATAAAGTAAGTAAAAATAATGCTTGGTGGAGGGCTAACTGTCAGCTTATACAGGTTCATTCATAATTATCATTGGGTTTATAATCATAAGTTTTATTTTTGGATGCTGAGTGTGACTCTTGCATATTTTTTCCCACAAGAGGTGAATTTTCACGTGGTTGGAAAACACTGCAGCTGAATTTACCTTCATTAAACTCATTGGTAACCTGCACTTCTTTTTAATGTGACTATCAAACGTTGTCCGGAACTGCCACGGAAGATAATGACGCAATTATCAAACGTTTTCAACTCTGCTGATAACGATATCGCGATAACGAATCCGTAGCGATGGCACAAAAATTAACGATAATAAGGGGTATTTTACGACGGTAATTGTTGTCAGAATATTTACACTTTTACTTCTCTCGCGTTTATGTTTATTGTTTTCTCTTTATCTCCGTTTTTTCTTCTTCTTTTTCTTTTTCAGAGGGACTGTTTGTTTTGACGATTATTGTGGTGATAAGTGTATTGGTGGTAATAATTGATATGGGTAATCATGATATAATATTGATAATTGTTATTATTATTATTGACCTTATTATTATCATTATCATTATTACTATCCTGTTATTGATATTACTATCATTATTGTTATTATTATCATTATTATTATCATTATTATTATTATTATTATTATCATTATTATCATTATCATTATTATCATTATTACTATTATTATTATTATTAATATTGTCATCATTATGACTATCACTACCATTTTATTGTTGTCATTATTGTTATCATTTTTATGATTATTATTATCATTATCATCATCATTATTATTTTTATTATTATTATCATGACTATGATTATTATTGTTGTTATTATTATAATGGTGATGATGATGAAGATGATGATGATGAAGATGATGATGATGATAATGATGATGATGATGATGATGATAATAAAAATAATAATAATAATAATTATAATGATAATAATAATGACAATAATAAGATGAAATGATAAGAAATAGTAATAAGAAGGTCACCACAAAATCAACTGAAAAGTTAAATGGATTTGCCATTGCACAGCAACAGTGCGTAGAACATAGAAACACTCTATGTAATTCTACCATCTACTCCAGTACTTAAACAAACTCCAGCATTGGACAGCATTTTGTTACAAGCACGCACTCAAACACGATCCCTGTCACTCAAACGGGTGGAGACATAGCTCGCACAATTCTACGGTACTGCCACACCAGATTTCATTACACGAGAGTTGTCAGCGGCTGTAGTCCATACGCGTCAGACTTGCCGACTGTGATGTGTTCTGATTTTTGGATTGAGTTTTGGCATGGGAGAGTAGGGCGGGTATTTTTTATATATGTGTGTGTGTAAGTGTATATATGCAATTATAGATAGATATCTGTCTATTAATTTATCTTTCTGTCTATCTATATCTGCATCTTTATTATACTACTGTTTCTGTATTTGTCCATATCTCTTTATATATCGATTTAGATATGTATGTATTTACTTGTCTTTTTAAATATCTATTTATCTATATGTTTATATCAAATCCTATATATCTATCCATCTATACCTATACCTGTATCTATATCAATATCTATATATTTATACCCATTTTTCTATCTCTATATTATCAGAAAAAAATATTCTGTACGTTTTGCTGTGCGTGTGCGTATGTAGTGTACCCCTATCTTTTACCAACCGTGACTTTTATAATATATATCTCGCTGTAGAATGGAAACAAAAGCAAAAATATACCGAGTAATAAACGTAATAAACACACAAATCATTCATTAGCCTCAGCCACATCCCACGCGAAGCCACCTACTCATCCAATCTCTCTCTCTCTCTCTCTCTCTCTCTCCTCAGGTGACAGCCTCGTCACTCTCCCTCGTGTACAACCTCACCAGCAGTCTTGATCTCGGCCTCAACTGGTCCTCACAACCCCTCGTGCCTTCAGGAGGCTTCGACCCCCGCCTCCAACTGGTCCTCAAGCCTCGACCTCGATGCCATCGACATCCTCAACGGGAACCAGTCCACAGGAACATCCTACGGGCCCGATTTCAATGGTTCCTTAGATACTCTAGCTGGAGGGTGAGTCTTGATGTTCAAACAGTGTTCATAATAGTTATAATGATAATAATAATGGTGATTATGATAATAATGATAATAGTAATGAGAATAATGATAATGATAATAGCAATGGTGATTATGATAATAGTAATGAGAATAATAGTAATGATAATAATAATAATTAGGATAATATTGCTAATGCTAATCATAATGATATTCAATGAAATGATAATAATGATTACCATTATTGTTATTATTACCATTAATATTATTTTTATTGTCATTATTATTGTTATTATTATTATCATTATTATTATTATTGTTATTATTATTATTATTAAAATCATTATTATCGTTATTCTTATTCTTATTATTATTATTATTATTAATAATATTATTATTATTATTGTTATTATTATTATCATTATCGTTATAATTATTATCATTATTATCACTAAGAATGGTAGTTATAATGATAATAATAATGGCGATTATGATAATAATGATAATAGTAATGAGAATAATAGTAATGATAATAATAATAATGATAATAATAATGGCGATGATGATGAT